CAGTGTTTAGAATTCTAATATGCACAGAACTCTTAAGAGTATGTCATTCTCTATGGCCTTAAAAGAAAAACTGCCCGCCCCACATGGAAGATTAGTTGGTACAAAAATACACATTTGAAGGACTGGGAATATAGCTCAGTGGCACAGAACCACCTTAACTTGCCAATCTCTCAACCATGGTATTTACTTTTGGAGAAAGTGGGAAGGTAAAATTTATATTCCACTTTTCTAATGTTTAGATTTGAAGCCTATGAAGTGGGGACTACCTTGAGTACTAGTCAGATCAGGTTTGTTCTGCTGAATAGTGCCAATATCCCTTTAAAAGCCGTGTCATTGGGGCTGGGGAGATAGCTCAGTGGTCTGAGTGATTGCCTGGCAAGCGCAAGGACCCAGGTTCAACCCCAGGCACCACATATCATGTTGGCCAGTCTGAGAACCCCAAGTGAGCCCTGTCGACTACCAAAATCAGGCAGGGTAGCACAAGCCTATAATCCCAGTGCTGGGGAGGCTGAGACAGGAGGATTACTACAAGTTTGAGCTGCGTAGTGAGGCCCTGCACCAAATAAATAAAAGATTAAAAAATAAAACAAAACAAAACCTTGCCACAAGGTCTTACCTGGGGACAGCAAAGCCCTTCCCTTAAACTTGCCTGCCAGAGACAGCCAGCTGCTGATCTGACTGCAGAGATAGATGGTCCAGAAGGGGACCTAATTCTTGATGACAATGATTTCTCAAGTATATTTTGGATTCACAAGAGAGTAAGTGGTATCTAGGGCCACAGAAACTTACTGGACAATGAGAGTCAAAATATTATTGCATCAGATTTGCTCTCTTTGTAAAGAAAAGCCTGGAAAGACAAAGCAAATATGTTCAAATATCCCAACCCAGGGCAGGCCAAATAGCTCAGCGGACTAAAGTGCCTGTAAGCAGGGACAGGGGCCAGGGGTTCGATTCTGGGCCTGCAGTGTTGGCCCCGTCCCTGGAGTGCCCTGAGACAGTAATTGAGACTGGGTGTGGTAACACGCATCTGTAATCCAGCACTTGGGAGGCTGTAAATAGGAGAATCACTACAAGTCCAATCTAGTAGTGAGACCCTGAACACCCTGTACTCTTCCCTAAAAAAAATAAAATAAAAGATCCCAACCCTCTTGTCCTAACTAGAGATGGCTGTAGCTTGGACCATGTGCCCTGCTGCACAATGAGTCCTTGCCCAAAGATGGGCAGCAGCTCGTAGAGGCAGCAATGGGCCATTTGCTGCAGCATTCAAAGGGAAAACAGACTTGGCACCTCAAGCAAATGAGGCTCACTTCCTGTGGTTTAGGAATATCCTAAAGGGAGTAGAAGGTTCCTCAGCCAAAAAGCCAGAAGGAGTGAGAAGGGGAGGAGGGATGAAGAGAGAAATGCTACAGAAGAATTAACAAACTTAATGGTTCAGAATATGGGTGGATCACATCTGGGGAACCTGTGGCTGTGAGGACAGGTGCCTAAGGAAAGGGACAGAGGTTCTGCATCTCCATCCACAAGAGGAAGGAGGGACTACTCAGCATGGAGGGACTACTCAGTGGATCCTGTACATACTCAGAAGCAGTGTCTTAGATACTTGGAGAGCTGAGCCTTTCCTAGAATTTTTTCTTCCCAAAATTGCAATTTCCCAGTCCACATTACACATTTATAACCTGAGGCTGTACATGTTAACTCTTTGGACATCACTGCTGGGAAACAACTGTCCCCTATCCAGTAGGTCTATTGGTTCCCTTGCTTGGCTTCATTACCCAACTCAAGTATTCAATCTCAACTCATGAGGCCTCACCATGGAGTGCATTTTGTAATGTAGGGGGCTCTTGGGAAGGATGCAACTGTCTAATACTATGAGCACAGTCCACACAGTTGTAGAGCTAGAACTGTGGAGAGTGAGAATAACAGTCCAGAAGTACCCCTCAGGTTAAGGAATAAGAAAAAAATTTAGAAGCAAAGAAAGGGGAAGAGTCAAAACTATATAGCTCACACAGAAAGATCAATAACTGCTGACCAGAAATCTTTGCTGCACCTTTCCTCTGTGAGTCACCCATGAGTCTAGGAGATACTCACAGCTGGTCACCGACCAAGAAAAACTCCCTCCTCATTCCTGTTCCCTCACAGCACCAAGGTCTCCACACTTTATCCTTCAGTATTTTCCCACTCCAAGAAAAGAGCCCTGGAGATGAATGATGAGGTACTGGGTATGAATGCTCCAAAACAGAATGTACACTACACTGAATCTGAAGGAACTTTCAGAGCACATATTCACCAGAGACTATAAAGCAGAGAATGTATGCATGGGAAGCAGAGGAAGAGAGAAAGGAGAAACAGACGGGATAAGGCAGAAAGAAAGGAAGTGACAGAGAGGTAGAAATGAGAAGAAAGGAATAGGAGAAAGAGAGATGCATAGTCAGCACAGCTAACTGAGAAAAATGGGATGCAAGATCAGAAGTCAGGGGCCGGAGATATAGCTCAGTGGTACAAATGCTTGCCTGGCAAGCACAAGGTCCTGAGTTTTATTCCGAGTTAAAAAAAAAAAAAAAAATCAGAAGTCAGCAATCCTTTTCTGTAATTAGTTGGTAAGTCACTATTTTAGACTTTGTAGGTCATAATGTCTCTGTGGCAACTACTCAACTCCGTAGTTCTAGTGTGAAACCAGCCACAGACCAATTGTAAATAAGCATGACTGTATTCCCATATAACATTACAGACATTAAAATATGACTTTCATATAATTTTCACAAGTCATGCAATAGTATTCTTTTGACCTTTCTCAACCATTTAAAAATGTATATCATTCTTAGGTAGTAAGCTATAGTTTACTAAGCCTTGATATAGACAAACACCCAGTAAAGGCACAAAACAGAGGTAGGCACACAAACAGGTTCATATAACAGCTCTTAAGACAGTCAGACAGGACCAAGGAGACAGCTCAGCAGAATAAGCATTTGTGTGGCAAGTGCTTGCATGACAAGTGCAGGGTCCTGAGTTCAATCCTTGGTACCGCAAAAAAAAAAAAAAAAAAAAAAAAAAATAAAGTTACTAGTTAAAAAAAAAAAAGATATAGCCAGAAGAATACACAGAGACAATCAAACCAACATGGTTACTGACAAACACGGACATAGACACAAACATTCAGGAATATATACAAATATTACATTCTTACAAGAACTATCCAACACACAGAAGCAGATGGGATCAAAGATACAGACTAATATGGACCCAGACATTGAAACAGAGCCCTATGGGGAGATATGAACCTTGACGAGATAAAGTACACAGAGACATAGAAGCAAATGGGCAGATAAGGTCATAACACAAATGGATACAATACGCATGGCTACAGATGGAATACACAGACACATATATGAGGTATATTCAGAAAATATAATGAAAGCCAGGAATGGTGATGCACGCCTTCAATTTCAGCTCTCGGGAGGCTGAGGCAGGAGGATCGTTGCAAGTTTGAGGCCAGCTTGGGCAACAAAGTGAGCTCAAGACCAGCCTGAGCTGCACAGCAAGACTCTGTCTCAAAAAGACACACACAAAAAAAAAAGAAAAAGAAAGAAAGAAAAGGAAACGATGCAAAAAATTATTACACTAAAAGACATAAAGACCTCTTTTGTGATTTTCTTTAACTGTACTATCATGGCTGCCTACCTTTCATAGTCATTTTTACTTTGGGGAAGAGCCAAAGGTCACACACAGTGCTGGATCCAGTGAATACAGTGGCTATACACTGTAGTGTTTTCATATTTCTATCTTTCAGTTGAATGGGACTCAGTAGCAGCATTCAATGTATTTTTATCATACCTCTTAAAGACACTGACAAAAGAGCACCTCTAGAACTGCTTCAGGAAGTGGCAAGAATGATGTGCTAAGTGTGTTCAAAGAGGGAGGGCTACTTTGAGGGGGATTAAAGGTAGTATGTCTTCCTTTGTAATAAGTCTTTAAAAAATTTAAACATTCATTGTATATTCTGACACTGTATACAAGCAGTCATGGATGGGCACTCTGAAAGGTCTCTAGATAGACAATCCTGCAGAGACAAAAACATGTAGGTCTTCACAGTCAGTACAGATAGATTCTAAGACACAAAAGCTCAGACACACACAGATAATGGACCCAGACAGGCAGGGTCAAAGACAACCCAGACCCAGACCCAGACCCAGACCCAGACCCAGACCCAGACCCAGATTCAGACCCGGACCCAGACCCAGACCAGGACCAAGAAACAGCCATACCTGGTTATACTACACTGTGAATGTAATTTATGCCACAGAATTATAAACGTAAGAATAGGATGGCAAGTTTGGTTATGATCTATCATCACTTCAGAACAACAACAAAAAACCTAAACGGATTTATGTGTACCATCCAGGCAGATGCACATACTCCTAGACCAATGCACCTTTCCCCAGTGATCACTGACACTGACAGCAAAGGCAGAAGAGGGACAGGGGCAAGGTAAGGAGACAACAAATGAGTGAATGAGGAGAGGTGTGCACACATTCATCCTTCTCACACACTAAATGTCATGACAGGAGGCAAGGAGATCTACAGAAGATAGCATAGCAGAAGTGAGACCACTGAAAAACACAAGAGAAAAACTAACAGGGCAATAAACAGACAAAGTCTCACACACTCACTAACAAACAGACTTCAGAAGAAGCTGAAGAGATGGTGAGTATGAAGAATGATACAGCAAGAGCAAGACAACACAACAGAGAGCAAACTATCGAGCATGGGAAAGAGAGAGAGCTCAAGGAGAACAGGACTGGCAAATAAGCCAAAATAATGTAAAACATTATTGATGACGAAGGTGCTCCAAAGTAAGGAAAACCAAAATTCAAATGAGGAGGGAACAGGAAAACACGTGGGCTGTGGGTGAGAGGAAGCAAAAATCAAGAAGGAATAGGGACTTGCAGGAGTACAGGTAGGCCATGATCAGCAGCATCAGAGGAACAGGCATGCCAACTCACTGTGATGACAAATCCAGGGATGTGGGTGGAGGATTCCAAGTGTCTGGGTAGCCGAGCATCCAGTCTGACCATACTTTCACACTGGGGAGCAGTTCCTTCAGGTCCAGGATGAAGGAAGACACCTTGATGTCATCTTGGTCATCCTGGTCCTCAGGAGACAAGGACTGCTGAGCTGCAGAGGCAAAGGGTGAGAACTGGGCCTATGTCTGTTGTGGCCCCCAAGTGAAGCTTGGGTGCTGTTAGCAGTAAGCTCTTAGGGAAGGGAGACCAAGTCCACAGAAGAGCTGGAGCCAGAAGTAAGGACAAGTGCCAACAACTAAAAAGATTCTGAAAAGCACGACAAAAAGAGAACGAGTATACTGGGTCTGCCTGTGGAGACAGCATTTGACATTTCTACTTTACCTGCATCCTGGCTGATGTCGCTACTCTGGCCTATAGCCCAACCTTTTAGCTGCTTCTTAGCACAGAATTCTGGCCAAAATTGTATAACCTGACTTTGATTATAAAGAAAGATCAATCCCAGTGCTTGGAAGGCTGAAAACAGAAGGATCACTATGAGTCTGATCTGTGCAGTGAGGAAATCATCAAGAAACCCAAATTATGGAGCATTCTACCAAATAAATGGCTTGTACTCTCTCAAAAGTGCTAAGATAGTAAAGGACAAAGAAAAACTGAGAAATCATTCCAGATTAAAGGAGACTAAAGATATATCTACATGCAATGTCTGATCAGTTTGGGAGTATAACTTACTAGTACAGTGCTTGCCTAGCATGCATGAGGCCTTAAGTCCAATTCTCATCACCACATAAAAGAAAGGGGGGGGATATGATTAAAGCCAGGTGTAGTGATGTATGCCTGTAATTTGGGCACTCTGGGAGATGGAGGTAGAAGACTGCAAATTTAAGCTCAATCTGGACAACTGAGTAAGACCTTGTCTCAAAATGAAAAATTAAAAGAGGTTGGGAATATAGCTCAGTGCAAAGCCCTGGGTTCAATCCCAATTAATCACATAATCAATCAGCATAATTGATACAAATTGAATAAAGCCTATAGATTTAACAATAAGTACTATGCCAGTGTTAATTTCTTTCTTTTTTTTTTAACGTTAATTTCTTGATTTTTGTTTTTTGGAACCCGGAATAAAACTCAGGACCCTGTGCTTGCTAGGCAAGTACTGTGCTGCTGAGCTATACCCCCAGCTCTCAATGCAAATTTCTTGATTTTAATAATTATTAAGAGAATGATCTTGTTATTAGGGATACAGACTCAAGTATTTTAGTTTAGTTTTTTTAATTTTGTTTTGCGGTACCAGGGATTGAACTCAAGACCATGCGCTTGCCAGGCAGGCGCTTACGCCGCTGAACTATATCCCTGACCTCCAGACTCAAGTATTTTAAAGAATACCATATCTGTAACTTAAAATTAAATGGTTCAGGACAACAACAGCATGTGCATGTGTATATAAAAAAAAGAGTTTAAAGCCATGTGGTAAAATATCATCTGAAGAATCTGGATGAAGGGTACATAAAATATTGTTTGCCTCATTCCTGCAACTATTCTATAAATCTCCGTTTCAAAATAAGATGCTCCTCCCTGGCACTGAACAAAAGCCCCATAGGCTGGAAGCCTGTACAAAGCTAGTTTGCCAGTGTGACGGAGGGGTCTCACTACTTGGCAGTACTGATGAAAGAGCATAGCAGATGGTAACCTTCAGTCCTATCTTACACAGCTATAACAATTAGGCCTAGAATTCTAAGGCATCTTAAGAAATAGGACATGATACTTAAACCCAAGGGCTAAAATAGTGCCTGCTCCGGTACAGCCAGCCTCTCAAGATGGTGACCCACAGTGGCTACAAAACCCACCAGATACTGAAAAGAAACACAGAAATAAAGGGGATAAAACAAAACATCAATTATGAACAAAAAGTGAAATTCATTTAATCCCCAGTATCACACCCCCAAAAAACAGGCAAATAAACATAAAGAATCCCCCAAAATAAAAAAGGGAAACAGTTTTGGCTTCTTTAAAAAGATGTAGCAGCTCTTAAGTATAGTTGCTCACTACTAAAGGAGGAAAAAGGAAGGAACTAATCCACAAGGAGTATAGAGGGCCTGAGACATCATCAGGCTACAGTGAGGCAACGAGGTATTGGAGGGACAAAAGGAAGAGATGGATAATAGGAGAGAAAGACTGGGAAGTACAGGAAGACAACAGAGAAGGAAACGCAGCACCCTGAGCCTCTTCTTGGATAGGGCTGGAGAGGTGGAAAGCACATCAGCTATGTGTCCCTCTTGCTTACCTTTGGCAGATTCCTTAAGGAGGCAGGTACAGCGCTGCACTAGGAGAGAAAACATGGCAAGACCAAGGGCTGCAGCTTGCTCCTGGATCACAGAGCGACACTCCTCTGAAAAACAATCTGAAGAGAGGCAAAGGAACTCTGATTAGTGACCTGGAGGCTTGTAAGTACTTCCCTACCTTAGGATAAGTGGTTCCTTCGCCCATTTCTAAACTTTCTTTTCCTTATCTCACTATAATAATTCCCTCTCTCAAAATAGGATCACAAAGCAATGGAAGATAATATAAGTGAAGCACTTACCAACATGCCCAATATACAGATAAGTACTTGGGAATGACCATAAGCATCACCTGTGTAAGCTGCAACACTTTCCCAGGACCCACTATTCCAAGTTGAGTAACATGAGCTGGAGCTGCAGGATCTCTCTGCCTTCAGTTGGCTACTGATAGTGTAAAGGTATAGTGACAGGAATTTACCTCATGAGCCCAGTCTCATGAGTATAGCCAGTAGGAGCACAATCACCAGATTTAAAGAGAAGGAGAAGGAGGAGGAAGAAGAGGAGGAAGAGAAGGAAGAAGAGGTGGAGGAGGAGGAAGGAAGGAAGGAAGGAAGGAAGGAAGGAAGGAAGGAAGGAAGGAAGGAAGGGAGAAGCTCTTCCAAATTATCAATCTTTGGTTCTATGTCTCCCTCCTCTGTTCCTAAGACAACACACATGACACAATGAACCTGTTTTGTACTGAATGAGCTAATTTTACATATAGCAGTGCTTGACATGTAATACTTACATACTTTCTCAGTGCTTTTAGGTCTGGTCCCCCCGACCCCTGGGCTAAAAACCAAATATGGTTCCTGGTACAGTACCTTCTTTTCCTAGCTTTTCAGCCTGGCTAACTTCTTTTTTATTTTATTTTTTCCCATAATTTTATTGAGAAATAAATAGCAATAAGACAGTTTCAAATCAAATTGGTAGGACAGTTCCAATAATTAACATATTGCATACTGCCTTCCTAGTGGTTATTTGTTGCACAAGATGTAGACATGATATCCGATTTACAAACACTTTTAGAACAAATCCCTCTATTCCTTGAAGTAAGAGAATGTAGTGATATATCTATCCTAACCATTTTGAATACACAGATACAAATGCACATTCATCTATATCCCCTTTTATTGTTTAATTCCATCATTTAAATATTATAGGTGTGTGAACTTAGCAAAATATTCCAAAATAGTCCAGTACTCCAAATAATAGTATTGGGTCTTCCACCTGACTGGCAATGTCAGAAGTTGCTGACCTGAGTCCCCTACAGCTCAACATAACAACATGGCTTTATTTCTTATACTTCGTTTTTATGCTTTTCTGCTGGATGGTTAAGACCAAGATAAAGCAAGACCTATGTAACAAGAGTTGTAGCTTTTGGATCTCATAAGGTCAGTCAAATTCCCTCAGGCTTTATCCTGAGACCCTGTACCTCAGATTGTAGATCCTTTGTCAGTGTCAGCCATGTGGATGAGTCACAGCCATTGCTTGGCCAATGTGCTCTCTGTGAAAGCCTGAGAGAATGTTTTCTCTCTATGTGACTCTCCTTAGGCACACTCTACATCATCGATCACTTTCCTCTTTGGCCCCATAATCTCCTTGATCAGAAAATTTGGGACACAACTGAGTTACATGATGTTACAGTATAAGCTCTCATATCCTGAGTCTCAATTGACCTTGGAAGGCTAGGGCCAAAATGTTAGTTTTCCCTGCGGCCCTCCTTTTTCTCTAATTTTTGGTCTGCAGACTTAGGTTGTTAACCCTCTGGAAGAGAAGCTTACTGTTATTGCCATATAACCTAGACTGCTGAGCTTAACCTCACTATCTGTCTGAATATCAAACATCTTAGGCATAATATGGAACAGGTATTTTTCATCAAGTATTGATATGTTAAACTTTAAAAAGTCCCTACAGAATATGACAAAAAAATTAAAATATATTTAAAGATGGAAATAAAGAATTACATATGCTTACACATAAGTCCAGAAATCTAACCATATACAATATTGTTGCAGGACAGTCCCGCAACACTCCTTTTCCTGTCTCCTGCCTTCATTCACCACCCCCTTCCTTTTTAAACAATCATCTACCCGAGAGACAGCATGGCAGCAACTGGCATGTCATGATAAGCAGCACATATTCAGAAGACCAGAATGACAGGCACTCCAAGCATGAACCTACTTTCAAACTGCCATCTTCAGTGCAGATGCTTAGTTCACAAATGTCAGTATATATAGTTAGTCAGGGTGAGAATCCTTCTAATTAACTGCTAGATTCAAAAATCTCCTGAAGATTCTCAGGATCATTGCTTTACCTATCTTGTACATATAACTGTATGGCTTACCTCTGTCATGTTTCCTAGCTCTTCTCCTTGCTCTCTCCTCATTGTCTAGTCCTCAATTTCTTGTTTTCCTTTTACTTGTATTATACCTTTCTATTTGCATTTCTTCTTTTGAGTCTTATACTAGGGAAATTATACGATATTTACACATGTGTGTCTGGTTTATTTCACTTATGAGTATATGTTCAAGTGGCATCCACTTTAATATAAAGGCTTTGAGTTTATCATTCTTAATAGCTGAATAATACTCCATTGTGTAAAAATACCACATGTTTTTCATCCGTTCCTCAGGTGATGGACATTTTGGTTGTTTCCAAGATTTGGCTATCACAAATTGTGCTGCTATAAACCTAGGGACACATATATCACTATGATATGATGTTTTCAGATCCTCTGGGAAAATTCCCAGTAGAGGAATAGCTGGATTAAATGGGATTTCCAGTCCTAGTTTTCTATGGACTCTCCACACTGATTTCCATAATGGTTGCACCAGTCTACATTCCCACCAGCAGTGGAGAAGGGTTCCCTTTTCCCCACGTTGGCTAACTTCTTTCTGGCTGCAGGTCACTGAATGGAGACAAAAACTAAGCTCATCAGCTTTGGCAGCAGCTAATCTGTTAATTTCCTCCATAACACAGGAAAACTCAGAATCTCCAAGTATTAAAAGTATAATTATCCACAGGTTTGATCTCAAGCTCTGCTTGCTAGTCTTGTCAAAGGACATAATTAAACTTGTTACTCCAGGAGATGCTACATAACCACAGCCATTCCTAACAGCCTTTTTTTATTTATTTATTTATTTTATTTATTTGTGTGTGTGTGTGTGGCCAGCTCAGCCCACCAGGGGGCGGGGCTGGCTGGCATGTGGTGCTGGGGGATTGAACCGTGGTCCATGTGCTTTGCTAAGCTTGTTCTAAGTAGGGGCTTTAGACCACTGAGCCATATCACCAGCCCCTCCTAACAGCCTTTGCCACAGGAGCAAATATGATCAGAGCACACAAACCCTGCCTTAAACTGCTTTTAAAGTCCTGGAAGGAGGGGCTGGTGAGATGGCTCAGTGGTCTAAAGCACCTACTTAGAACAAGCTTAGCAAAGCCCAGGGAACCACGGTTCAATCCCCCAGCACCACATGCCAGCTAGCCCGCCCCCTGGTGGGCTGAGCTGGCCACACACACACACACAAAAAAATTAAAAAAAAAAAAAAAAAAAAAAGTCCTGGAAGGAACAGAATGCTGCTCCAAAGGACCCAATATACAAATAACAGTGGATCAATACTTCCATGTGGCTGGAAAGCCACATGGAAGTGTCCACTGGTGCAGTCCTTTCATTTTCCAAATCAACTGTAGTAGGCATAAGAAGTGGTAACAACTTATGAATCAGAACATAAGTTTTAGTCTTCTCCTTAGGCCATAAACCTCACCAAACAAAAAGAAAACAAATGTCCAAGAATGAAAAAGGAGGATAAGAGCATGGAAGGAAAGACACATAAACTGCCCCAAGAAAGCCTGCCAACATTTCTCCCTCTACTTGCCATAGGCACCACTACTGTTAATTCCAATGCAGCATGATCCAGACCCCTGCAACACAATGCCAGCAGCCTGCCTGTAATTAGCAACAAAGCCTGCAATGAAGGAGTAAGTCCAGGAAAGAAGATGGGAAATAATGAGGGGAGGCTACATCCTGGTAGTTGACAGCCTGAGTAAACATTACTCCTCATTCCGATGGGCAGGTTCTCAGAAGTTGCCTGTACACAGAAGGCTAGAAGGGATGAGGCAGCTATCTTGCTCCAAGAAACTAGACATGACAAGTCATTCTCAACACACTGGATAAGAGTGAGATATAGCAGAAAATTACTTTCACCATGTTCATTTCTATTCTTATGAACTTTTTTTTTTCTTTTGGTAGAGGGGATCAGATTCAGACCTTGCACTTGCCAGGTAGGCACTTATGCCACTAAGCTATTTCCTCGGCTCTCCCATTTCTATTCTTGTGACAAACAGTATCTCAGACCAGACTGTCTCTCAGAGTTCAAGATGAGTGACTAGGACTCAAAGGAGAGAAGGAACTGCTTAAGGGCAACGTGGCCTCTAGAGAATCAAGGTTAGCTCTTATAAGGTATGGTACCTTATAACACCAGTAATCTCTCTGGTATATTGCCTAAAAGAGCTCAACTACCTCTTACAGCAGCAACTAGAAGCCACTTTTATGATTGCTCATCATGGTTAACACTTTCTAGAAGGCCTGTTCTGCTCCAAGTCTTATTGCTATGATATGCTATGCTCTTAGTCTCAAAGGCTTCTGTAGGCCGTAAAATACTTCTCCTTGAGTATCCTTGAGTATATTTACCCTTATATAAGTGGGTTAGAAAATAGCACCTAGATTCCTAGAGTCCATTCACCTTAGGGCTAGACTTAAAAAACACTCCCTAGTCTGACAAACACCTTGCAGTTGGGCTGGACCAGGCCAACAAACCGTGTGGGGTGGGGAGGAAGAGGCATTGTTTGCCTTGGTATTTGCCTTGGTTCCTCTGGCTTTTTGTCAGAAAGCAGGAGCTTCACATGAGCTGAAGAACTCATTAACACTATAAAATAGCTTTTCACCTTCTTTCTAAAAGCAGGCTAGCTCAAGGGTTGGGGGGGGGGGTAAGCCAAGGAAGGGGACTTTTGACCAAGAAAGTCAGACAGAAATATTTCTTATTAAGAAATATTGCTAGTTTTGTCAAAGGACATAATTAAATTT